CGCTCTTCCCGCGAAACTAGTGTATCGTTGGACTCTCTTCTAACTACCAATGATAGAAATACTGTACATCAGTTCGTTTGAAACTTTTCAGTTCGACTTTGGGGTCCTTTTGATACAGCCTTGTGCCGGGAAGTGGTATCGCTCGCGTCCAATTCAGTGTGTCATAATCGATCCGAAAGAACGGGTAATCTAGACGAACGAGTAGATATTATACAATCTATAAATACATGTTTTCTCATTTTTGTTTCTTGCTTCCTCAGAAGTCAGGATTAATATCCGTCGTGGACTTGTTTTTTTTTTTTTTTTTTTTTTGAAAAGTGAAAAAAGAAAAGACAGTCGAGCGAGAACAACCCTTATTTTTTGTTGCTTAAGGTATGTCGTGCAGCAATCACACGGAAAATGAATGACTTCGACATGGGTGGCGTTAAATAATAATAATATCAAGCTAATGTAATGACTGTTACGGTATAAAAGCGGTGTTCAACATCGGATAATATGATTTTTGTTTTTTCCGTTTTTTTTCTTTTGATCACACGAGAAAAATTACACACGACCTACTGTTACTTTATAAGGGAGTTCCATTGCTTCTTTTTTCTTTTTCTCAACGTCCATCGGTTTAACGTTCGCGTCTAACGCAATGGCGATCGGGCTCGAAAAGAGATTCAAGGAGATCCAAAGGAAATTCCCGTTTCGTGCAAAGCAATGGATATATCGGACAATTACTACGAGTACCGCAAATAATGTTGTCTTTGCAGTTTGAAGGGATCAATGTATCAGTAAGCCTTTACGTAAAACAGGTGTTTGCAGCCTTGCTTCTCCTTGCTGGCTCGAAAATTCGCTATAAAACTTATTAGAATTGTACAAGGACTTCGTATTACTTTTCTGTTTACTATCGTACAATCTTTACCATACAAATTGTATTATTACGTTTATGATTGACGTTATGTACTAATATTTCACTGTAACATTACCGCAATCTCCTTTTCATTGGTGTTTAATCATTCCAGTTTGCTTACATCCAACATCATTCTCTCAATTAAAGCACCGGACATTGCGCTTCCAATTCTTAATCCAATCAATGAAACAAAAACAATATCCGGCGTGCAATGGAATCATATTGAAATTAGAATAGAATTCAATCCTTGGAATATAAAATACCATCCGTTTGGGATAGCTTTTAATACTCTGTGCTTCCCATAAGCGTTTGAGTGCCGCTCGGCGCAATCGTACTTCTGTTGTTTCATGTTGAAAAACGTCAGTTTCTTTGGAATAGCAATGTTTACAGTGGTAATTGCAGTCTCATAACTGATTGGGTGACAGTCAGCGTTCCTGCGGTTACGAATCTGTGAAAATGCTTATGTTTAACAATGTAAAACCATTATTTAAATGTTTCTATTGACAATACAATTGAACAAAACTGCCAATACCGTGGCGGCACTTTTTGGCGATCCGCGCGGCGTGGCACTCAAACGGTGAATAAAATGTATTTTTACTAATAGAACTGTACACTCAATATCGGAAACATTAACAACACACCATTTGAACCCTTTATACGACGTATCCTTTCCCGCAGCCTCTGACGTTTGAGCATAGATAATATATCGTTAATGGATATCATTGCACAATACACACACGTAAAACCGTCTGCCTTCCATCGAGATTTCCGACTATACATGGTAATAATAACATTTAATCAGTCATTAAAATTGTTTCCACTATGTCAAATGGCTGACCACCACAGTGATTCCTTCAATATCTGCAATGTAGTTTCGATGCTTTTGTTAGTTCGCATCTAACCTGCTAGCGATACAGGTCCTTGTGGATTGTAACAAACACACATTGAATGCTTCTTTTTAGATTGAGCAGAAAGCTAGACGTATCGAGTTTGGTTTTCGCTGTTAACAAGTAACAACTAACATAGGGCAGTTCTGTAGTCACCATCGGATGCAGTTTCCTGTCCTTTCCTAATCCCATATTCCTATCATTCCTTCTCCGTCAAGTATTGGTCCTTTGCTGATGTAGTTACCTCGTTCGTTGCCCACTTATCGTCTATCAGTATATATTACAATAATATTACATATAATACTATCCATGTATATTAAAATATTTAACAGCCAGCCCAACGGCAGGCTGTGATTTTTCCAATAGAAAAAGAACCAAGAGATGGCGTTAGTCTTTGACATAGTCGAATTCACAAAGATCCGGGGGTAACATTAGTCTTACAGATTGGCGAATTCACAGCACATGCCCAAACATGTCGAGCCCAAGAAAGAGAGCTACAAACATATATCCTTTACCTAGTGTGGCTCGGCTAGCCCGGTCCAGGATTTTGATTAATCATTAGAGGATAGTGCAACAGCAGTAACTTTTCTTTTCTTTCTCAGGGCTGAAGTTCATCTCGCGTACGATTTCGGCGAACACATCGTTGACGTTTGTGCGGTTCTTCGCGGATGCCTCGACGAATGGACAGCCCCAGACCTGTGCCAGAGCGTTACCCTCCGCCGTGTCCACTTCACGTTGATGCTCCAGATCGAGTTTGTTCGCGACAAGCAACACCGGTACACGTTCGGTGCCTTTCACACGGGTGATCAATTCCTTCATCGCTTTGATGTCCTGGAAGGTCTGATGATTCGTCAGACTGTAAACGACCACAAAGCCCTGACCGTTCTTTATATAAAGATCGCGCATACTCGCGAACTGTTCGGTACCGGCGGTGTCGAGGATCTCTAGCACGCACGGCGAGTTGTCCACCTCGATCTCCTTTCGGTAGAAATCTTCGATGGTCGGATCGTACTTCTCCATGAAACATCCCGAGACAAATTGCACGGTTAGTGCACTCTTGCCTACCCCGCCCGAACCGAGGACGACTACCTTGAACTCGCGCATCTCTTTGCCAGTTCGCCTCCGTCTCTTCCTCCTCCTTCTCCTCCTCAACGTGTCCAGGACCGAGAGGAAGGTTCTCTCTGCCTAGTATCCGACCGATTGCACAGAATTGTTATTTCTTGTCGGAACAGAAACACGGTCGGACGAACTGTGTGGCCGCTACTAACTCCGTCCTCGTATTCGCGAACCGAACGCGCTCGAACGGGAACAGCTCTTATTGCCGAACAAAGGCATCGATGGATGGTACTAGAGACGACAGGATCACGCGTTACGTTTCACCGCGATGATCGAAACCCAGACGTTCGTCAGTCCCGAACAAGAAGACATGACAGCACCGTATTCACACTCTCTGTCACACACGGCAGTCCCCTGGCGACGTTCGCCTGGCCTGCCTCCTTCTTCCTGTCTTTCCTCTGCCCCTCACTTCTTCTCTAGCTCTCTGACGTGCGTGACGCCATCTTATCGCGGTTTGGATTTTCTTCGAACCTCCTGGCACTCAGCATCGAGTACTGGTCTCTCTCTATCTTCGCTTCGGCCTTACTACCAGTTTATACGCCTGGCCAGTATACACGTTATATACATATCGGCGGCCCCGACACTTATCTCGACCGAGCCAAAATCCCCCGTCTGTACCCTAAGTCACGTTTCCAACATTTCCCGGCCCTTTAACTCATTTCGATACGAGCCTGCCATTGGTGAATACCGACCGAGACGAAATTCGTTGGACGAATAGTGGCGCCGCCCGAGGAGACTGACATCCGCTCTTTCTTTCTATAGAAAACCGTGCCCGAGGAAAATAGTAAGAGAGGAATCACGGAAACTCCCTTTACCGGATGCAAGTGTCATTCTCTTATCTTCCAGACAGCACTATCCACGACCTCGACGCTCCCAAGCGTTCAGTGAGTTTTATTAATATTACCAAACATTCCTTATAAATGCCGAGTAAATTGATGTTCTTTTTCGTCTATGCCAGTCTATGCTAGGACACGTGTCCCGATCATTGCCACAATGTTTTATTAATACCGATGATTTAAGATGATGGATCGCTTTATTATTATCATTATTATTAATTATTAATACGTATGTAATTATGCGTGTCGTTATTAGATTATCGCGGGAATGAAAATGTTGTTGCGGCATAAAAATAAATCGTACAAATGATTACTAAATTGTTTATTACAAAGTATGTTTCGTTAACGAATCTGCGTAGTAGTAGAGGTTTTCGTAAGAAAACAATTGAGTCATAGTGTATTGCACAAAACCAGCACGACTCATCCGTGTCGATTAAATGCAAACAAATTGCTCATTACATGAAGGTACCGCATAAAGCACCAATTCCGAAAATAGATCGGAAAAGAAAACTTAGGATAGATATGCGTAATAGGAAATTCGATTTTTAAGCACGCGCTGTGTATTTATTCTCCTATTGGGGCGTTCCTTATTCCCTCCGTTGAGTTGGGAAAAAAGAAGGGAAAAAAAGCATAGAAAAAAAGTGAAAAGTGTGGTCTGGTTGTGCACGTAAGTTCGATGTTTCATTTGAAAAGATTGTAATCGTGCTTTTCTAAAATACCGGAAGCACATATGCTACTGTATCTTCTTGCGGTTTAACATACGGACCGCCCGTTCCTTCTCCTGTGGTGTGCGTTGCGTAGAGATCTACGTGATTCCTGCACTCGCTGACGACCTTGTGGTATGCGAACGCAGACATATGTGAGACACGATGACATCATCCGATGAAAGTGTACATAACTGAACAATGCATCACTTTACATAGTATTTGGTGACGAACTGTCAGAATTAATCAATAAGAACCGAATCTGAACAATCTATCAGAAAGTCGTGCTTTTATTTCGAACAAACTATTCTGTCGAAAAATTCATTACAATACTTATAACCTCGTTGAAAACAAAATACAAACCATAATCACGTTTTGCCTAGACAGTTTAATTGTAGTCGGAAAATTTGTTAGAAATATTGTTTTTTTTTATGCTATAGAAAGGGTAAACGAACTGATTTACGATACAACGGTATTGAATCAGCTGCATATCATCGAGAACAACGCATCTGGCTCTTGAAATGCACGTGCATTTGTCGGCCGGCTTATCAACGATTTTCAGTGTCTCTAATTGGGACACTGCCGAATCTCCAATTGTATAATAAGCAGCACGTAATGATTTGCTTGACTCCTTGTCGTTCGTTCACCGTGAAAAAAGTAATCAGTGCGTGGTTGGCGAAATAAAAATCGCACGAACGAAATGTTATTGAGGTTGTTCACAATAAACGAGGAAACTGTCGATTAGGGTTCATGAAACCTAATTCAAGGCTATTAAAAAGTAGTGCATACAACGAGGTAGAATCTAGTTTAAGGTGTCATCCTACCTTTTTTTTTGTATCCCCAATAACTTTTCTACGTGAGCGATTTTTTACACGTACTTATATCGATCGACCGATTTTCTGTTTAGCTTGTAGCATTAATTTGTGAATCGCGTTTTATCTTAATGTTTACGAAATTTACGAAACGTACAAACCAGAAGTCAAGATTACCGATGACCTAAATAGAATCTCTAGATATAAAAGTATAATGATATTCAGGGTTGATATCTAACCATGACACGAATAGGAATGCTAAAAGCTTAAGGTATGCGTCATGTAACGGATTGTACTTTAATCATTGATTATAAGTTATAAAATGTTATACTTTCTGTTACGTTTAAATTAGGTAGCAGTTTCAGGTCAAGTTATCAATCATATACGTGTCAAGTGACAAAGGATTGTTATCAACAAAAAGACAGAGTTATCATGTACAGCTCGTATCCTCACGTAAAGTTACAACGACCTTTACGAGCGGACAATGACCTGACAATTTCAATAACATAAACAGTGTTACGATTAGAGTTTCGTCACCACGCGATCTTTTTCATAACTAATTGCTGCCGCTTACTACCCGGTAGATAAAGAAGTACCCTGCACAGAGACACTTACCGATTGTGAATTAACGTAAACATAACCTAAATACCAAAACAAAAAGTAAACAAAGTCTCGGAAAACTATTTACAGTGATTAACTTTTAGTTCATTTATTTATTATAATAGTCCATTACAGTGTGTTGTCCTATGTTCAAGTGTCTTTCTGTTATAGAATCGTAATGTTTTCGAAATACAGCTTCACATATTGACCGTAAAACTTTTATCGAAAATATATTTAAATCTGATCTCAAATGCGTTTACAAATAGTTAAATTCTTAGGTTTTCCGAGTAAAGGTCAATTGACACTTCTAATTGTAATGACAGTAACATAAAGTTTGCTTCTTCTGAAATTACCATTCACTTTAGGTAAGAAATGGCTACTCTGTAAAACATCTTACAGATACATTTTTTTTTTGTTCAATTTAGGTAAAAAATGAATACACCGTATCCTGCAACACAACCACCACCGCCGCCGTATTCGCCAATGCAACCGATTATAACGGCACCGCCGGCCGGTGGTTTCCCGATGCCACAAGACAGTTTACCGTTGTTACACCGAGGTAAAATATTTTGATTTTAATTCCACAGCGATCATTCCATACTAATAAAGATATATTCTATAAATATTAACCGCAAAAATAACAAACCACGCATCGATGTAAAAAGAAAGGCAAGTAATTTCACTTAAAAAAACACCTATCCGCTTGCAATATTCACGAAGATTCACCACGGTAATAATCAGTATGTATTTCGAATCTTCTATGAGTTCATCAATTGATTCAAAATCATGTTTAAGTGACGCTTATCGCTTATCACTTCGTATCAGATTCCGTCTAGATAATATATTTTTTTAAATACTGCGTCCGTGGTAATCAGTATCTACGTACAGAACGTTCGAAAAATCCCAATTGAATTGTTTAAATAATTTTGCCCAATGCCAAATGACTCGTATCTCGTGACATCGTAAACAATCATAACGGTTATTTAACGCAGCATTTCGTAACTTGACATTGCAATAGTTACCAACAGACAAGGATAAATACGATTGGATATTTTAAACTAACTGAAAAACTGAATATTATCTTGTTTATGGGCAATGTTGTTAAACCACAACTGATCTATCTTCGAGTCGACCATTCGGTCCCAAATCGTGGGACGATTAACTCGTTAAAGAATTCTGAAAATTCCGAAATGTCTTTGCACGGTTATCTCGACGAGTCGGAATTTATCAGTTGTATGGCATTGTCTGGGTCCGTAGTGCGACGAGAAGAGAGACCGTAAACGGGGCACGATATGCAGACGCTATTTGCCAAGTGACGATCAGTGAGTAGATAATAGTCGTCTTCGTTGATGGAAACGGTCACGTAGGACACAGGGGGATTTAAGTGCCATCCGTCCAGTTTCGTGTTCCCGTGGCTCATCTCACCCCCTTATCGGCAGTAAACACACTTGCGCCGTTCCGTGCGAACGGGGCCTGCGATCGAGGCCCTTGAAACGGTATTCCGTGTATTCCAGTTGTTGTAACGTAAATTAACGAATTCGTCGGAAGAATTCACGTGTATCGGGCCCGTCTACGCCGTGGACATTTATACCACGTGATCCGTTTTTGTGTCACCTGAAACGTGCTTACGAGAAGCTTATATATATATATCTGGAGCCAGACTGTATTAAGTCACAATTTTCAAACTTTAGAGGAGAGCGAATAAAAGGTGCGAAAACCTTGTAACTTTGGAATTGTTCGGTAAGAATTGAGCGAGAAACAATCGCTACTTTCGAACTGTTGAATGGATCTACGACAAGGTTCTATATGTAGAGGTGGTGAAATTTGTACTAAACCTCCCCAGATAGCACACGGCGTTTAATGACGTCTTGGAGACGGCTTAAAGGCGCCTTAGACCTAAATTACGTGCTATGTGGGTCTGTGTAATGGATTTTACACTGTTTTTAAAATATGAGCTTAATATCATTCTTGCCTATTTACCTATATTAAAAACCAGACGACTTAGAACGAAATAATTTTTACCATCGAAGAGTGAAGTATTTGATACGGGATACCCATGAAATGTGATTTTTTTAACAAATTGAACTTAATATACTCTGGCACTGGGGTTCATTTCGTTTTTCACGCGAAGCTTTCCATTTTTCTTATCACATCGAAATGTCTGCGGCACTTACGAAATAATTCGACCTAGAATTTTCATTGCTTCAATTGCGTACAAGTGGCGTACGTACACGAGGTAACCAATAACGCTCAACACTGATACCCTATGAATACCAGAGATATCTACCGTTTGTTATGGATGCAGAGGAAAAAAGATTCGTCTTTCGGGGTCAAAGTTGCCGCGTGAATTATTACAACTGCAATTGCCTCGATAAATGGGGGCCCCTCTGATATCGAATTCTCCTCTCTCAGCTCTATCGTTATCGTGTTCCTTTTATTTTCTGTTCTTCGCCTCTACAAAAATATGTCACGTTGAAGAATAGAGTCGGGGGTCTCGATGGCTGTGCCGCCAGTGAGCGTTAACGTTGCATCGATGAACCATTGAAATAATGTTTCTTGCGAATGTTTTTCGTATTAAACGGCGAACCAGAGGTAATAGATAGTATTACGACGCCAGTCGCATGGAAAATGTGATTCATCTCGGTTAATTAACGGTGTAACGAGGATTAAATAATATTCGGGCCAATTTGCGAAACGACACGACCAGCCGGACGTGCGTTGGCGGACCCACAATTTGCTACCGACGACGAATGGCTGGGATTGTTTTGTACGAAGTGCAACGTTTCACCACAGAACAGACCGTCGTTCCTACAACTATACCGTTTCGCACGCACACGCATACACACCGAAAAAGAAAAAATAAGATTTGCAAGATTTCACGTGAATATTTTAAAATAGCTGGAAAATTGAATATTATCTTTTCGGGCTCGTGTCGTTAAATAACAACTAATTTACCCTCTAGAGCAAACTCGGCTTCCGTTATGGGAAAAAAAGTGACGTAAGAAAAGGGCCTTCTACCATTTGATTTCGGAAGTTTCTGAAATTTATGCGAAATTAACATCCGATTTAATATTTATTTCATTGCTTGTATTAAATTTACCAAGTGTTAGGAGACCCTTCACCTGGAGGAAAATGTGAGGTAAGGGGCTACTACCATTTAGTTTGGAAAAACAGATTTGTCGAGACGCTTTGCGTACGGAACGAAGGGAAAATAGATGAGCATCGAACAGTTGGAAAAACTTTATCCACGGGAGGAACGTATTTATTGTTTTCTTTATCTACGAAGAGATAACGAGCCAGTCCAGGGAAGCAAATCGCTCCCAGGAAAAGTACACAAGTTTTATCGTTTCGCTGAGAAGTAGAAATTCGAGGATACAAATGATCGTTTAGTGTATCAAGTGCTGTCAATAGTACACCCAGTACGTGATTTCAGTGATACTAATGTGCTGAATAAGTTCACGGAACCTTTATGCAGACGCTGGAACAGTTACAAAAAAAAATTTTTTTTTAAATCACCAACCACAATTGATGTACCGTTTTCTTATTTTTTTTTTTTTTTTTTTTTTTTTTTTTTTTTTTTTTTTTTTTTTTTTTTTTTTTTTTTTTTTTTTTTTTTTTTTTTTTTTTTTTTTTTTTTTTTTTTTTTTTTTTTTTTTTTTTTTTTTTTTATCTTGCAACAATCGAAGCTATGTTTCGTTAAAACAAGAGTAGCCTCAGATGATTCGGAGTGAAAATCATGTTCGTTCGGCGGTTCTGTTAATTAACACTAGAACTACCGACGATAAACGCATATTTGCATCGATCATAACATTTGAATCGTCGTTGTAAGAGTGTATTGACAAGTCTTTTTGACTTGCTTGGTAGTTCTAGTGTTAACAATGAAGGTTCGCGAGTGAATTTATTCCGTTCAGAAGAGAAATATGGAATCAGAGTATTTCGAGACCTCGTGGAAAGTAAAAGTGCAACAAATTCGACGTCGGCTGCGCACTTTGTTCCGGGACACGTTGAACAGATACCGATCAAAGAGGAAGGGCTACACCAGATTCCTCACGGAGGAGGAGAAGAGGTGACTCGATTGGAAATACTTTAAAGAGAAACACTATTCGCCGACTCGTTAATTTAACTGTGTTTCAAGAGGTGTATTTTGTGAATGTTTTTTTTTTTTTTTTTTTTTTTTTTTAAAAAATATTTCAAACCTTTGCAGGTTTATTTAGCTACACGATTACAAACAAGGCAAAATTTGCAAATACTGTTGGTAAAAAAAGTATTCGGATGCCCGTTCGAAACAGAACAACTTTGTTAAAATTGGTCCAAGTGGCTTGAGTTCTTTTGTGAAGGTTAGGAACGTTAGTTTCCTAAATGACGTGTAAAAGAAGAAATATTGAAAAAGTTGCAATTGATCGGAGTTGCGAAGAAAATAGTAAAGGTTGCTTTTTACAATTTTTTTTATTCGAGACTGTAATGGAAATTTAATAAATGCATTTCGACGATTTGTGTTAGTTATATTACATGTTGGAAATTTCACGAAAATACGTCAACGTTGCTATGAGATAAAAACGATTAAAAATGTTGGAAGTCACAGTTTCTCGCAACCTTCGACCTGCAACTGTAGTAAATCTAACAATTCTTACATATTTTGATGCCTGTCGCTCGGTTCTTTATCAACCGATTTCAATGAAAGTTTTCAGTATGTATATAACTAACGTAAATCTTCCATATGTATTTATTAAATTTGCATTATAGCCTCAAAATAAAAAAAGATATAAAAAGCTAATATTTTCTTCGCGATTTCGACTAATTGTAACTTTCAATTTTTCTTTTACACATCATTTGATAAACTAATGTCCCTAACTTCGCAAAAGAACTCAAGTCATTTGTACCAATTTAAAAAAAAAGTTGATCTCTTTTAAAGGATGTTCGAAAACTTTAGTTGACCGCTGTATACAGGGTGTTAATTTTAACTCAAGCACCTAAATTATTTCCGGTACTATTGAAAATAAGAAAAAATGACTAAATAGGATGTACATGATTTTAAGGCGTGTATCTGATGGTGATAAAAAAATCCTATGAAGTTCGTTTTAACGGTTCTTTCAAGGTCATATTTTTTTGCATATTAATTGTTAAAATGAGTTCAACGACTTACACGCCATGGCCTTGAAGACGAAGAAATCAGCTTCAGTTTAAAGAATGTAGAAGTAAATAAACGTAATAAGAAGTAAAAAACATTTTATCACCATCAGATGTACGCCTTAAAACAAGAGATGGGCACAGTATTATTTGAATAATACGTAGTGAGAAGCAGCAGTATCTAAAATCGTCATCCTGACCTTTAAACAGTTCATGAGATTAATTCATTTTCTTTTTACTTCAAATAATAGCGGAAATAATTTCTGTGCTCAAGTTAAAATTAACACCCTGTATGACAGAAATTTTGTGAATGTGATGTACACGGTGTTGTTATTCGAATTCGTTGATTTTCATTTCAGGTGGCTGGTTACCGCCGAGTACGACTTGTCCACCCGGCTTGGAATACCTTATGGCCCTTGACCATCTTTTCGTCCAGCAGAAAATCGAACTAATCGAAGGTTAGTAGTACACTCGAGCTGAGGGTCGCCTAACGATCTTTCCTTAAGCACAAAACATTATTTATCATTTTCTAATTTCTCTAATCTTCGTGTCGTTTGTTTTAAACTGAATTGTAAACGGACCGTGAAAGGGTCGTTAGAGCACAGTCGGCGATATCCATTAACGCTAAAATGCGTAATTCGAAATGGCTCGGTGAGTAATCCACTCTGTTGTCGGCCGAAAAAGATCTCGGCTCCTGATTCTGGTCTAGCAAAACTTACACGGGAAGTCACGGAAGTGTCCCCCTCCGATTTTAATGAAACTTCGTATGTCTGTTAAGCAGTAAAAAAATAAGGGATACGTATTTTTTTTTATCGGCTGACACGCGACTTTAAGGGGTGAAACCACCCCTCGAAGTTTCAACCCGAAAGTACTATCTCGAAAACCAGAGCAGATACATGAAAACTTCTAATGGACGAGAATTGCGGTTTTTTATGTAGAATAATATTGTACTAATAAATTGTCGATAATATAATTTGTTTGTAACAAAAAAATTTCGGTTTATACAGCGTTCATCGGATTTGAGACGAAAAACAAGTACAGCGTGGTGAACATCCGAGGGGAGCCGGTCTTTTACGTCGCCGAACAATCCGGAATATGCTCTCGTTTGTGTTTCGGCTCGCATCGCAGCTGTGAGTTCCAAGTGATCGACTCTGGCAGAAGGGAAATCCTTCGAATGGTTCGACCCTGCAGGTGCGAAAGCTGCTGCTGTCCTTGCTGTTTGCAGGTAATTTTACCTTCTTCGGCGCTAAAGAAAGAACGACTCGCAATTGGCGCGACCTTGACGTGACAGACCACCGGAAATAATATTTACTTGCAACGTCCACTGAATTTATTGCTTTAATTACGGCCACGTTAATCATTGATCTTTATCGTGCAACGATCAGCTTGAAATTTAAAGGATTCCGTAAGATTACGAATATGTGGTTGAAAATTACCGATGTACCCAGATAGCACATGACGCCTTGAAGACGGCTTAAAGACGCCTTAGAAAAGACAAGATCAACCATGTATAATATGGATGAACTCTTGGATACCACATTTATAAACAAGGGATATATCTTTCGACAATGTTTCAGTGTTTACATAAGTGGAACCCTACTAGAGTATGGGAAGCATCAGCATATCGTTTTTGTACGTAAAGATATGCTTTTTGAAGAATAACTCCTCCAAAGGTCATTTGGAGGTTAACATATTATACATGGTAGAATTTGTCCTCTCATTAGATATGATGTTACACTAATCAAAACACGTTATTCCATTTAAAAAAAGAACCGACTATGACCTTGAAATATCGGAAATTTTTTTTCTTCTAATTATCTATCGATTTAATTTTTAGGAGCTAGAGGTGTATTCTGGGGATACATTGCTTGGCTCAGTGGCCCAAGACTGGAGTCTCTGGCGAACTTCATTTTCCATTCGCAACGCATCCGGAGAAACTGTGTTAATTATAAAAGGACCGTGGTTTCGGTTTTGCATAGACGTATCATTCAAGGTATTGAATTGTCAAATAACGCTGATTATACAGTTTCATTGACGTTGTCGTTTCTTCGTGTTTTACGTTATAGGTCAAATCAGTGGACGGCCAACACAGAGTCGGGGTTATTAAAAAAGAGTGGGCCGGATTCGGTAGAGAAATTTTCACGACTGCTGACAATTTTGGTATATCTTTCCCGGTGGACTTGGATGTTAAAATCAAAGCTGTTCTGCTCGGTGCCTGCCTATTAATCGTGAGCCCTATTCTACTATCATCGACAGTGAATTTATTGTTGTGCATTGAATATTAATGAAAACCGATTTCTTTCGTATTTCAGGACTTCATGTACTTCGAACGAAATCCCAGGGATATTTAATAGAATCCTATGGATTGTACCATTTAAACTGTTTGCTATTAATGTGTATATAATGTGAATGCAAAATGGCGTCACGTTTCTTTACTCGCTATTCGTGCTTGATGTCTGCCATTTCGTAATTTTGAAAGATCATGAGATATTTTTGTATGTTTACATATAATTTACAACGTTCCCCGGTGTAGAACAGTTAAAGTTGCATCGAGATGTTACTAATTCGGTTAATTATTAACTGAAAGGAATTATATTTGAGTCTACAGTATACTAAAGTCCAGGAGGTTGTTTATAAATGTAAACATTATTGATTGTAATTTGATATTTTTTGTATTTGAATTAGTGGCCTAATGTTGTCCAATAGATATATCTCCTTCCAATTTGATCTTCTCGAGGCGAGTTACGAGTCTCTTAAATACGGATCTCGTATTTAAGAGAATCGTGCGCACAAGTTTTACTTTGCTAATAGTCTGTTTAAAGACTGAAGTGCATCAAATGTCGTAAACATGAAATTCAATATTTGTAAGCATTGCTTTGTGTTGTAATTAACATAATTTGTATGTTAGTTATTGTAAGCGTGTCCTGGAAATCGATCTTATAGTCACTAGTTGTTTACACTCATTTTATATTTACAGACTGTATATACTCAATTTCTTATATTTTTGGGTATTTTATAAAAAGTATAAATAACTAAAAACAAAATCCCTTCATTTTTCCATGTTGTCCAATTGAATATTATATCGACGGTCCTTTAGCCACGAAATAGATATGTGTAATAATTATTGGAGAAGAAAAAGTAATCAGTAGTACTCTGCAAACGCAGTCAAAATTGATCAAAATACACAAATAGTGAAAGTTCGAATAATGTTTGTTGTTCTGTCCATCAGATACCATAAAAATAGTGACAAAAATCAATTGATGTCGAAAACCATATAATGCTGGGATCAGCTCTAAGGGCGATCACAGCTAGGGATGAATCGATACAAGTAAATACGAGTCACTGATCTGTATATACAGATAATACATACGTACTGTGCATACGTCAGAGCCACCGTGGTGTGTGTATGTGTGTGTGTGTGAGTGGGGCCATAGAACCCCCGGTGGAGGCGCCAGAGACCCCGTGTGATGAGACGTGGTGTCACAGAACCCCTGGAGGAGGCGCCAGAGACCCCGTGTGTGTGAGAAAGTGGGGTCATAGTACCCCCGGAGCATGCGTAAGAGTTTTGAAACGTGATCCTTTATCGCTGTAGTTCGTAAAGGATCACGTTTCAAACGTATACTGACGCAAGCCATTTCACTACCGTCCATTGTCCCGTAATCCACATGTAGTAACAATTGATTGAATCCGGCAGAGGATTACTGCAAATTATTACACACGTCCATCGTATGCCACCGGTAATCAAAATTTCGGCGACAAACTTATGAAACCTTTATGAAGCTTTGAAGACGGTATTCGTCTTGACAAAGCATTCGACGTGTAGCTTAAAGAACGTCCATTAATCCACTGTCATTGGCAATAACAATAAACGACCAGAAAACTGTTAAAATCGCATTTATTTGCAACGGTTGACACTGTATCTCGTCAAGTGTACACCGTTTAGTTTACTTTCGCCAGCTCTTACACCGTTATACGGATAGCTTTTGTTTAGATAAAGCACTCAATTTGTAGCTGAAAGTACGTAGATTAATCCGTTGTTATTGATAATAACAATAAATGACCAGAACACTGTTAAAATCGCCTTTTATCGTGGAGTACCACTTTTTTTTTACCGGTGGCGCCACCCGTGGCAATTCGCTCAAACTGCTAGCCAAATCATACCGACAGGTGAGTGAAAATTCCTAATGCTAGAAAAAAGCGAATATCTCAGTAATTCAGCGTTCAAAATGAACGTTATTAGTCTCAAATTGTTCCTGAGGGCTTAACGCATCGATTCAATACTGTAGAACCCTCGAATTAGTAAAATTATTTATGCCTGTATTAACGTTGACCCTCATGGAGAGGCAACCCCGAGTGCACGGATTTCTATCGCATTTACACAGATAAACGGGCATCATTCTTCTTCGTCTTGCAATAGATACAACGATAAAGAACGTAGATTAATACTCTCCAACGGCTGCGTACCAGAAATTACAAGAACATTGTTAAAATCACATTTATATGCAACGGTTGACACTGAATTTCGCCATGCGTACACCGTTCAGTTCACTTTGAATAGCTCTTCCAACGTTATATGGACAGGTTACGTCTTGATCAAGCATTCAGTTTCAAGCTTAAAGAACGTAGATTAATCCCCTGTCATTGAAAATATCAATAAACGACCAGAACACTGTTAAAATCGCATTTAATCG